CTTCCGACTTAAGGAGGGCGAGAAATCACACTCTTTGGAGAAGTCAGGTTTTCCCAAGAGTTAAGGTTACATTTCAGACACAGTAACGATATATTTGCTTTGCAATTTAAATAAGATGTCATTCAGATACTATTTAGAGTTCCTCATAAGTTTCACCAGCCCACGCTCTTGGGACCAGTGACTCAGACCTCAGCAGACAGAGGATGGGTCACAAATGATCAGGTTTTGGTTCTTTGCCCCCTGTTTTTCAGCTAAACTCAAAGCTCTATTTTCCATTGTGTTTCCCTGGAACTAAAGGACCACAGACTTTCCTTTACATTATATTCCTTGGAATATAATGGAAGCTTAGATCCTTAGAGGAGTGGCTTGTTGAGAGTTCAGACACTGCAAAACACCACATGTACAACAAAGCTGGTGACACAGTTTGGCTGGTTCATCTTTTGATCCAGAGAAACCACTGTTGGATGGGTTGGATGTTGGTTTCCATCTCTTTGGCCTTTAGTCACTTGATTTTATCAGTCTTGAAAGAAAAGCAACCCACAGGACCAGCTCATAAGGATCACTGAGAACTTCACCAACAAACGCCTTGTGAAATTGTCCATGTCCCAGCTGCTGGAGAAAAGTCCACAAGGCAGACCATCAGCCCACCCTGTGCCACAAGGCCCTAAAGGACACAGGCTGGTGTGGAAGGAGCAGGCTCACATCCAGACTTCCTCAGGAGAGCATTTCGAGAGAGCCCGAGCATGACCAACAGGTTTCAACCTTGCAACAGCAAAGCATCTCCCAGGAAAAGTAGCAGGAATTCTCTCCTAAATCAAGATAACCTTCCACAGAGTCCAGGCTTACTCCTTTCATCAAGATGAGATCTTCCCTCCCTCTCACATTTCCAAATTCTTCCATATTTTGGGGGCTGTGCCAGAGCCAGGAACCAGCCTCCATTTCTCAACAGCTGGCAGTGACGCTGTGGTAGAAACCCCCCAGATTCCCACAGCTCCCCTACAGGCAGGAGCATTTCCAAAGAAGTTACTTAAATGCTTCCTAGAAAATCGGTGCTTCTGGAGAGCATGGGTTTAATTCCCCAGGGGGCCTGACCATGCACTGCAGTACATGCCTCCAGCTGGAATCCCAGCTGTCTGCAACCACCAGCTGCCGTGAACTGCGTAAGCCCAGTGTCACTGCAGGGTCTGGGGACAAGAAGGAATAAAACTGGCAGATGGGGAAGGGTCTACAGCTCCTGCAGAGCTTCTGAAGGCAGGATCTGAGCACAACCTCTTATCCCTCCAGCAGAAGGCATCTCATGAAACCACAGAATCATGAAATGGCAGAACCACAGAACCGTTTGCTCGCTCATTGCCCGAGTAATAACCATTCACCTCTTGGTAATAAATGTGAATTATTATTTTTCCAGCAAGCCTCTTTTAGCTCAGCCCCACTGAAGGGCTTCTTAACACAGTTCTGACGCCAAGGGTTGGAAAAAATCCAGGGATTTATTTAACTGAACATATCATTGCCCTGTTTCACTTCACTAGAAATGGCAATGACACAGGGTACTGCTGGTTCAGGCTAGAGCAGGGAATTCCGGCCGTGAGAAAACCATTGGAAATTCCAGATAAGCCTGCAGGCTGATCAGATGTGGTTTTGGTTTGGTACCAGAACAGCTGGCTCCAGTTTTCTCTCCCCTCAGGTCATTCCAGTGATGCTGGAGCCCCCTCAGGTTATGGGTGGTGGAAGCATCACGTGTTTCATCTCCACTGAGTTGCCCCAGACTGCGGATGCTGCTCCAGACTGCAGACTGAGTGTGCCCTGAGGGAAGGGGCAATCTTGTGGGCTCCATGCAGAGCTGTCTGGAAACCTCCAAGACTCCTGTTTGCACGGAAGGAAATGAACTTCTTCCACATAGGAAAGAGCCAGATGCAGGCAGGTTTCTTCCATCAACCCCTCTCATTGTCACCATGCTGTCCAAGGTCCTACCATGGGGCTAATCCAGACTCCACCACTGCAGGGAGTGGAATATGTGGAATAAAGGGGAGATTTTGGAGCTCAGCTGATGAAAACCAGGGAGAAACAGGCTAAAGGTTTAAGATCAGTAAGATTTTCTGCTGTATTTAAGACTGAGACCCCCCCCCAGGTGTATTTGATGTGATCTGGCTTGGTGAACACAGCACCAGTGTCTTCTGGTTGTTCCAGTAATTTTATTTTCTTACCTCTGAGCACAGTGGATTCTCTTTGGATCTCCTCAGAGAATCACAGACTGGTTTGGGTTGGAAAGGACTTTTAAAGGTCATCTGGTCCAATCCTCTGCAGTGAGCAGGGACATCTTCAGCCAAATTAGGTTGCTCAGAGCCCTGTCGAACCTGACCTGGAATGTTTCCAGGGATAGGGCATCTACCACCTCTCTGGGCAAAACTGAGACAGTGTTTAACCACTCTCAGTGTAAAAAAAAAAAAAAAGTCTTCTTTATATCTAGTCTGGATCTCTCCTCTTTTAGTTTAAAACCATCACCCCTTGTCCTGTCCCAACAGGCCCTGCTAAAAGTGCTTCTCAGGTGAGAAAGTAGCTTAGTTCCCATTTCACCAAAGTTTACAGGCACAACAGAGCTTCCAAATCAAGAACAGCCTGAAACGTTGATCTTCACAAAGATCCAAAATATCTCCCTTTTTTACCACAGTAATTCTCAGGGGTAGATGGGAACTGAGAGACCATGGGGTGGGAAGGTCCTAGCTCTCCACTGTGGGTTTGACCAAAGCATGACATGATGTTCCCTCTCCAGACTGAGCTTACTCCCTACAATTGTTGTATGAAAACCCACCACAGCTGTGGGGTCCATTTCCCTGTCTTTCAGAAGAACTGTGAAAACCCAACTGCTCCTGGACCACAGCTGTGGTGTGCACCAGATGGTACTGGAGCAGCATCCCAGTGACTCACAGCACCTTGAGCAGAAGGCAGGGAAGGGAGGACATGACTGCTCCAAGTCCAGCCCCTGCTCAGGACTACACTGTCCAAGATTACAAAGGGAGACAAATTCAAACAAGTTGAGAACACTCCTTCCAGCAACTTTGTTTAGCATTTCTAGCTGATGTTCACCACTCCAGGACTGTACCCTATGACTATTTCAAAGACCACAAGTGCATTTCATTGAGTTAGATGAAAGAAATTTGGATTCTACCTTTGCTTTCTTTTTGCTTTACTTTCTTTCCAAAAAATGCTGCTTTTTCTTAAAAAAAAAAAAAGGGGGTTGTGTTTTTTAAAAAAGGACTGGGGCTACCACAGGAGGAGGGGCCAGCAAGATAATTATCAAGGCAATGGTGGAAAGGGTTTGCTTTAGAAAAGAATATGTTGTGACATGTCCATGGACTACAAGAAGAGGCTGATGGACCTGGGCTTGTTCAGTCAAAGAGGAGATTTCAGGGCAGCCTACAGCTACTTTGGAGGGGGCTGACAATGCGGACAGAATTGCAGACAGTTAGAAAGTTCTAAAGAAGTTATGTGTGACCTGCCCTAGGTAGTCCTGCTCTGGCAGGGGGGTTAGAGTCAATGATCTCCAGAGTGCCTTCCAACCCAAACTATTCTGTGATTTTGTGAAGACAGAACTTAATGGTAAAAGGCAGGAGATACAAAAGGGACAACAGGCACAAATTGTGGCTTGGTAAGTTCAGCTTGGACATCTACAAAAGTGTCTGCCCAGGTCACCCAGGGCACTGCTGTGCCAAGCATGATGTCTCAGGCTCTGAGGGGGTTGTCAGCTGCTGCCACATGGGGTGTAATAAACATGCCTGGCAGCTGAATGTCCTCTGAGCCAGGACATAGACTTTAGGTCCCACATCTGGAATCACACGTGGTCTTCTGCTTGTAAAAATAAAAAGGGTGGTGCCAGGCAGGCTGTGACATTGTCCTGGTTTGAGCCAGGATGAAGCCAATTTTCTTTTTACTGATTTTTTTTTTTTGCCTTCACTGAACTCTCTTTTAAGCAGCCACTTGCTGAAATTAGCAGCAGATTTTCCAGCTGGTGGACTCAAACCAGGACAGACGTGAGCAAACACGTGTAAAAAGAAAATTAAATGCAGAGGAATCATCCCTCAGCACCTGGAATCATCCCTCTCCCATCAGGAATGATACTGAGTATTTAAATCACAAACACCACACTAACCTTCACTCATGGCTGTGCTAAATACTCCTAGAAGTGAAGTGTGGTGAAAGGAAGACAGCTCAGATGGAAAGTCTCCTCTTAAATATCCTTCTGCTTCATCAATCGTGGCCAGCTTCAGGGGGCAGGAAACTTGGCTACTGCAGAAAAGCAGAGAAACAACACGGGCTGCCTTCTTCTTCATTTGGAGTGAAGAGACAAGAGGGCAATATAACCATTATATATCATTAGAGACCTGGGAAGGAAGGGCAACATATAGTCACAGAGAGGCACTGGAGCTGATTATGGGGAAGAGGGAACAGCCCTGAGCTCCACTGGTTGCTCTGAGATCCTTGGGCTCCCCATTAAAAACAGCAGAGAAGGAATTCCAGCAATGACAGAGGGACAGTGACAACAGATGGATGCACTGTCCAAGAACAGATATTCCCTGGCCTTGAAAAGCACTAAAAATTCCTCAGCTCATTTCCAAACCAGGTCTCAAATCAGATCTGACATTATTTTTCCAAAAAGGACTTCCATGACACAGGCCATGAAGCATCCAAATGTGCCAACGTGCCTGTGTGGGAACCCATCACCAGCCACTTACAGGATGATGAAGCTGGTCAGTTCCTCAGTTCCCCACATGCCATCATACATCACTGCTGATTCTCCCTTCTCATAAATCTTGAGGGTGGGAAACTGAGTGACATTCTCCTTGGTGCAAACCCCAGGCCAGTCCCAGCAGTTCACCCGAGAGAGCAAAACTCCCTGAGTTCCTAGAGTGGAAAAGAAAGATGTATAAACAATATGCAAAGAAAATAGAGGAAGAATTGGTTGGAAAAATGAACTTGTTGTGAGCTTCTGTAGATATAATCACTTCTATTTGTATTAATACTGCCAGAATTCCTGTTTGCTTTGGGGGGCTGGATCCTGGCACACTGCATGCACAAGGGCTGAGCCCAGGTGGGCTACCATGGAGAAGCTACTGGACCATTCCTGGAGTCAAACGCTGCTGTGGGTGGGCAGGGTGACAAAATCCAGCCCTGAACACACAATCCCTTTGAGTACAGGCTGTCTCCCTCCTGCAATCACTCACGGATATGCCTTACACTTTTCAGTAACTATTTCCAGCCTGCAAATGCTGGAATCCCCACCAGTAGGTGGGGATTGATCCAAACAATAAGCTCAGGGAAGTGGTAGGTTACACTTCTCAGAAGGAAATTCTCAGAGACATTCAGATCTGGCTGGTTACTCAAAGAGACACCAGGAAACCCTGAGGCCACTGTCCAGGAGTGTACAAGGCAGCAAGGAAAGGTATCAAAAAACCCTTAGGAATAAGGCCAAGACAAAGAAATGATGCAGTCCCTCACTTACAGGGAAGAGGGAAGATAAAGGTTTGGCATGAGGGAGGCTGATGCATTCAAGGTTTTTTTCATTTATTAAGGTGCCCAGTATGGGAAAGTGTCTGTTCTACCTAAACAGTGCAGCCCCAAAAAGGAGCATCAACATAACAGATTTAGTAGAGGTTGGCAGTCTGCTGGTCTTCACCCTATCCTACCTATGGAGGCTGCTCATCTCCACACCACTAGCAGGTACCTTTAGGACCTTAGGAAAGAGCCTGGGGTCTCACAGGAGAGACAGGGAGAGCACTTGGAAAGTACAATCAGTCAGTCCAGCTTTGGTACTAAAAGAGCTTTTTACAGGTGTCATCAAAGCAATAAGCTCAAGGGATTCATAAGCAGTGAACAAATGAAGGTTGGTTCCTTGCATGCTCCCCATGAGCCCAACACACAGTGTCTGCAAGTTCCAGAATGTCCTTATCAGCCTTCCTTTCATCTGCACATTGGGGGACAACCAGCACATGCTTCTGCTGCTCCATGGCTAAGCCCATGTTAACCAGCTGGCAAGTGAACCATCACCAGCTTAACTAGCCACTACTCCTTGGTTGCCAGCCTCCCCTAACCTGCCTGCTACCTAGGCTTGACCAAGGACAGCAGGGCTGTGGACAGTCCTCAGCCCATAGGTCATCCATGCCATATCTCAGAAATCTTGATGTCCTCCCTAAATTTGTTTGAACAGGATTCAAGAGTTCCATGGGAATGATGGGATGAAACCTAGAGCCAAGTAACACATGGAAGCAGACCATCACAAAATGTCCTTCAGAAACCAGGGTCAGGGCAGGTGATGAGGTTTCTCATGAATAGGGAAGATCAAACCAGCCAAGCTTTCTTCTCTGTCCTGGGTCTGATTCTGATCAGTATTTTCATTAAAAGCTGATGGAAAAAAACACACATATCCCATCTGCAAACCATCCCAAGCCCAGAGGGGCAGAAAGCAATTTGAAGGGCAAAGTTTAACAACAGCAACATTCTGTGATGAGAAGCAGGATGCTCAGATACCATCAGTGGGGCAGAACAGGGCACAGCTCATTCTGGGATGAACTCTCCACAGCATCTGCAAGATAAGGGAGCAAAATTATGTTCTTCTGTCCTAGTGAGACCTCTGCAAGTCAGGCTGGGGAGCTTGTTTTTGGAAGGGCTTAAGCAATGGGAGAGAATCTAGAGAAGTTTGGAAGACAAAAAGGAAAACACAAACCCAAAGAGCTATGTTTCTTTTGACTGGAAATTGCCTGGGAAAAAGAAACAATAAAATCTAACAGGACATATAGTCTGCTCTGGAGGCAACAGTGAGATGACTCTTTGTTGCCAGCTGGATAAGGACACGCAACAACCCATTCCCACGTAAAGGTGGTTTGGCCAAATATTAAAAGAAGCTGCTGAGAACCAAGCACAGCACTTTTTGGCAGAGAAGCTGGGGAAGGATTTTAATCACAGGTTAGAAACAAGCCTGCCAGGACAGGCAAGGCATCTTCACAGACAGGGGTGAAGGCTGAGGTGACCTTAGCACATGTTCCTGTCCCCTATCCCTATGTCCTGGGCATCCCACTGGTCCATTTCCTGCAAACCCTCATTTTAGGTTCTACTTTGCAGTAGAGGAGGAGTTTGCTGCTGCTCTGCCTTGTGTCTAACTCCTGCATGAGAAAAGCAAGCAGCAGCACAGAGCTCAGGGCCTGCAGCTCCACTCAGACAGTCAGGAGCTGTCAAAACACTCCACCAGAAGAGAAATGGTTTGTGTCATTCTCCGGGGCTCTGAAATAACACCTCAGATTAAAAGCCTGTCCCTGGATTTATTTCACACCTCTGATCCAACATAGCTGGTTCTCATCATCTGTTACCACATAATTTTCTGTCTTGCCCAACTCTGAAAAGTAATGACATAGAAATGGGGCTTTCATGTCTTGTTAAAATTGACTTGCAAGGTTGCTCTGAGGTCTCTCCAATAGGAGTTTCAGTATTTGGACACTACCCTTGGGGGATTACATACCAAAAGTGCTCCAAAGAAGCACCATCTGGCACCAGGAATACCTTGTACAGGATGATCACTGTCCCATCCCCATCTGCACCATATTATTAATTACGGAAGGAGCAGCAGTTTCAGGAGTTGAGTAACTCAGCCCCAGACTGTTCAGCCCTGGGGTCATTGTTGAGCTGCTGGATGGGAAAAAGGTGAAAGAGGAACAGAAGATCTTACTGTTCTGTGATTTTAGCTGCCATTAAAGCAACAGCAAGAACCTCTGCCCTTGGTGTCTAATAAAACCAGGACAAGACAAATCATCAGCGCTACAGGGAACAAGAAAAAGGAAGAATCCCTTACACTTCTAATCCTTTGGAGGGCAGGACTGGCATTAGAAACAGCTCACTTGAAGGGCTGGTCCAAAGGCTACAACATGAAAGAGAAGTTATGTATGAAGTGCTGCACTTTGAGAGAAGGAATCTAATATGGCATGGGAAACCATGCCCAGACAGCATCACACAGGGGACTCCTAAATCCTTATTTCAGATGTAGGTTCCATGAATTGCTAAATCACACAGATGATTTTCCTGCCTTTGAACTACAACTTCAGCCCTCTGTCTTTGGTCACCAAGACTCCACAAGCACAGAAGAGGGAAGCAGAGCTTTTTCTCATCTTAGTCTGTTGCTCTTCTCAGAGACTGGTTTCTTCTCTTCTCTGCAGACAAAAGCCAATGACACACCTAAGAAATGCTCAGTACTGTCTCATCTTCACATCCTCTTCTCCTGTCCCAGGAGTGCTGCTTCCATAAGTTCACATCATGCAAAAGAAAACAAGAGCTGCAGCAGTTGGTGACAGAGAGTTTTCTTGCTGCAGGAGCAGAAAGTGTGCTTGGTTGAACAAACAGAGCTGCTTCTCTTTATCTCTTGCTAGATTGGATCTCTCAATGAAGTGAAAACACTGAAGGGAGGAGCATAAATATAATCTGGTCATGGTCTGCTGAACATCTGTTACTGGATGAATCACAGGATCATTTCAATCTCCGATCTCCATTCCCTTGTGCTTGGTCTCACATGGACTGTTCTCAGAGCCACTCTGCACAAGGAGTGGGCATCATAAGTGGGACCTGGTTCTGCAGCTCAAGCTGTGGCTCCAGAGTGGGTGATTCACACCCCAGCAGCTGGTCTTGGCTTCTCAGCCCAACCCAGAGAGCAGACAGGAGCACCAGTGCTTCTGGGGGAGCTGAGAAGTTGCCCCAAAGCCAACCTGCATGTTTTATCATCAGTTCTGCAGAGCTCAACACCTTCCTGATCCAGATTTCTGTCCCTTGCACTGTTCTGTCTTCTCTCAACCTGGCCATAACCCCATGGACCCCCATCCTTTTAGGTCCTCCAGCTCCCTTGGTAGCCCACCTGTGGCTGGGGCTTCCTCAGCAGCAGAGACAAAGATCTCCAGATCCACTAACGCAGCTGTTCTCCACCCTCTCCAAGGTCACAGCAGGGAGAGCAGGATGGAGTCATCCCACAGCTCACATCTGGCTTGGGAGTCTTTGGTGGGACTTCACAGATCACAGAGGAAAGTCCCTTACCCTGATCAGTTCATAATCTCTGCTGGGAATCTTCCTGTGGCTGCCCTCGTGGACCGAGATTGTTATCAAATGATTCAAAAAACACATGGTAAAAGTCTGGCTGAGCAGAATCAGCCAAGGTTTGGCCACTGGCTCAGGAAGAGGAAGGATTCACCCCAGGCTCCTCCTCTGATGGCTGGGGGGAGTCTAAAAGAAACCCCAAACCATAACATCTCTAACAACAACAACCCTTTCTGAGCTTTCCTGTTTATTCCTGAGATTTCAGTGCAGATCAAAGCTGCTGGTGACCTCTCCTTCATGCAGGCTACGACTGAAGAACCACTTCCATCCAAACCAGAGTAGGGTCCACAGCGTTCCCAGGAGGGTTTCTTGTAAGCAGCTCCCACTGCATCTGCCTCCCAGAAAGCTGGGTCCTCTGCAGACTCTATACATGTCCCTTCTGCTGAGAGTTCAGCCTGAATTCTGCTCGCACTCTGCAGGACATGTTGCCTGGTCCCAGGGACATGCCATCACTAGGAGAAATGAGCCTTTAAGAAGCAGAACCCAGAGGAGGCAGCAGCCACCTCCAAGGGTGTCAGAACAGCTCTCACCCAGAGCCACGTGACTCCCCCACTGTGCTGCAACGACTTGGGGATGAAGCCACCTGAGTGTTCCCTGCAGCCAGCAGAAGAGGCAACTCTGGAAGAGATTCAGCCCATGTAAGAATGATGGATGTGCAGAAGAACCCACCTCTCTTCACTAACTTTAGAAAAGGATGGGACTAAAGATCTGCATGAGCTGAATTGGGGCTTACACTGCCCAGGAACTGCTCAGGCCCTCTTGGAGGATCAGTCCATCCTGCCTTTAATGCCAGGCCACCCAACAGGGAGCTGTCTTTATGTGTTGCTGATTCTTCCCCATCACATGTCATTTTTGGAGTTCTGTGGCCATTTGTGAGACTTCCCATGTAATTCAGCCAGTCCCCAGGCCCTGAAGGCAACATCATTGTCAATTCTTTCTCTGCCACCATCCTGCCCCTGTGGATCTGGGCCTGCCCACACCTGCCTGTCATGCTTTCCACCAAAGCTGGGGCCCATTACAGCTCCTTTCCAGATCAAGTACTTCCAAAACCAGGCGATCTGGCACCTTGAATGGCTGTGCAGAACGTACTGTATCTCCTTGGTCTGTGTACCAAGCACAGAGGGGCAGAGCAGGACCCTGTTTCCATGAGGCAGGCCACTGTCCCTGCTGTTTGCCCCTTCCTACTCCAAAGCCCACCCTGTGTCACCCACTGCAGCTGGTGCTCTGCCCTGGCCCTCCCCCTGGGCATTCAGAGTCACCACCATCTGTCACACAGTCACTGTGCACACCACCATGATCCACCACACTGTGCCCAGCACCAGCACCTCAGCTGCAAGGCAGTTTGGGCAGCTGGTGTGTACCCATTCACACCAACAACACAAGGTGGCTCCAGAAGACTTTATAAAGGACCAAACGGACTGCAAAGATCCCTCAGCAAGAAACATAGAACTCTTCCTAAGCCACCTGATGTGGCTGTGCCTTTCTTGAGTTTGGGAACTAAAAATGACTAAGTTTCGGGTGAGTTACCACCAATATATCTTCACAGCTTTCTGGTTCCTACTGCCAGGGCAGGTGTGTGCCAGCTGTAAAGTACCCAGACCTGTGGCACCTTACCTGACAGGTGATCAGCCACCTCAGTGTAAGTCTGCAGCACTGCCAGGGACACTGCCTCCCCTGAAACAGAAGAGACACAGGGCTGGAGCAGCTCTGCTTTGGAGACTGGCTGAGAGAGTTGGGGTGTTCAGCCTGGAGAAGAGAAGGCTCCAGGGAGACCTTAGAGCACATTCCAGGGCCTGAAGGGGCTCCAGGAAAGCTGGGGAGGGACTTGGGACAAGGGCAGGGAGGGGTGGGATGAGGGGAAATGGTTTCCAGCTGATAGAGGGGAGATCGGTATTAGATATTAGGAGGAAATTCTTTGCTGTGAGGCTGGTGAGACCCTGGCCCAGGTTGCCCAGAGAAGCTGTGGCTGCCCCATCCCTGGCAGTGTTGAAGGGCAGGTTGGATGGGGCTTGGAGAAGCCTGGGCTGGTGGGAGGTGTCCCTGCCCATGCAGGGGGTTGGCACTGGATGATCTTAAAATGTCCCTCCCAACCCAACCCAGTCTTTGACTCTGTGATTCTATACAGGTGACAGACCAGCCCCACCTCTCTCTCTGACAATGTCACACTGTTTCTCTGCATCCTAAGGTGCTTCAAGCTCTGAGAGACTTGAAAGAAATAAGGAGAACTGGACTTCATGCTTCTGTGCAATAGACAGCAACCAGGTTGTCTAAGCTACCCCAAGAGCCCATGCTACCACAATGTCCCCTCTTGTCCTCCATTCAATCCCTGTGAAATGAAGGTTACAAACCTATAAACACTTCTGTCTTCTATGCTATGAGGTACTGTCTTCATACAGCACCTGACAATGAGAAGAAGTGTTTTAATCTGATGGGTAACAGTGGGTGGAGGCACATGGGGCAGGATGTGGCACCTGCTTATTGTGTATGGGATCACCCTGGTACAGAAAGCATGGTGAGCAGTGAGTGGTTGGAGAGGGGACAGCCAGGACACATTTCAAACTCACAGCTGGCATAGAACAGCACCACTGTCCGGGCAGCCTCCAAGAGGGTTGAGTGGAAGGTGTCCTCTGTCAGGGCAAGGATCTGTTCCAGGGGCAGCTCTTGCTTCTTGTCCCTGGAAACTGCTTCCACCACCTGATCATCCTGAATGTCTGCAAAGGATCCAGAGCTGTGAATGAACAAGGGTAGGACACAGGGAACTTCAGCCCTGCAGGGAATTCCAACCCATCAGGACATTTTAGTGAGCCAGCACCTCCCAACCGAGACTCAGGGACTGTCAGGAGGCAGGTGAGGAACCACCTGATGTGGAAGAGTGGAAGCAAAGGCACAGACACACTCATGGACAGACACCCAAACTCACTGAAATGCACCCATCCCATCTCACACCAGTTCTGCCCTCTGACTTGAACACTCTTTTTTAGGCATGTTGACTCCTCTAGGATCCTGCACCTTTATTTTTTTGGAAAACAAAACCAATTCTGTATGGGAAACAAAACCCATTTTGTATGGAAAACAAATGCACTTTCAAGGAAGCATTTCAAGGGCCAGTGCTTTCTCCCTGGGGAAAGGAAGTCTGGAAGAGCTCTTAGAAAAACATGTCTCAAACCTTTCCAAAGGCACTTTGATGCCTGCAGAGGAGGCAGGGTTGGGTGCACTTTAGACTCTCATGTCTCTAAAGCTGGATGCATTCAAGCAGAAACAACCCTCTCCCTCCTGCAGCACCTCTGCAACTGTTCCTCCAACAGCTGCTCATTTTCTGCCCTGGTGTTTCCCCCTAAAAATTCTGCCTGTCTGTCAGAAAACCCCAGTGATCTGCAAGAAGAAAAGAGCCAGTTTGTACAGATGTGATGTGACTGAGATGGTTTGCCTCAGATTTACAAGTGTCTTCTCTAATGCTTTAACATCTGCTTGCTGTCTCCAGCAGATGCTAACTGCATGTCCTATCTGATGATAATCAGCTTTTCACTGGTTAGTCACACACCTTGATTGTTATTGTCTTTTTCATCCTCCTCTTCATCCTCCTCCTCATCCTCCTGGATTTGTTTGACCTTGCTTTTATCTTCCACAAGGGTTATAATTTCATCAGTGTCTTCCAAGGCCAGGTATTTGACTGGCACTCCCTAAAGAAAATGGAATAAATCAGTGGGAGCAAAACTTCACCTTCTGCCCACTCCATCCACAAGCCAAACTCAAGGTTTATGGGGCACCAGTACCCAAACCCTTATTTTTGGGATATATCAACAGATTCCTAAAGCTGACAAGCAGGGGAGTGTTTTTCTTTGACCCAATTTCACCTGCACATGAGTTTTTCTCAATTCAGATGGACTTTTCTTTGCCAAGAAAAAATTGTGGCTCTGTGGGATCCTGTGCCTGGAGTGATGGAAGTGAACACCCATTCCACCTCCCAGCAACTTTAACACGGATTCACCATTACAAGAAAATGACCACTGGTGAGATGGTGTAGGAGACTGGGGAGATACAGGGTGCACTTGGTCGTCCTCCCTCTAGAAGTGTCAGACCAGCTCATCACAGCTGGGAAACTGGCAGAAAAAAACCCCTTTATCTCATGGAGCTCAAGGAGGAAGAGAGCTCCCAAGTGTACATGGGGCTGCCAACCCATGGAAAGAAAAGAGCAAAATGTATTTCTCAGAAATGAGGCCTTGTTGACTTCAAACCAGTCCTGGCACTGTCTCAGCGAGAGGCACTGCAGCCAAAATGAACGTTATAATCAACTGAGAGAAATGACAAACTGCTGGCACCTCCCGTTGACTCTAGGAGGAGAAAGGCACATCTCTCACCAGGGCATGGGAAGCCCTCAGGGGATGCTCAGGTTCAGGTCTGATCCTGCATCTTTGCAATCACAAGTGTGACAGTTCAGGTAATCTGGGGCAACATGTGCTCCCTGGCATTTGGAGGCGCTGAATTCCATCTCGCTTCACAAGCTGGGTCAGGTCCCTCCAGAGTTTAGCTCATCTGCCTCAACCTCATTCCACTCACACCCTGCCCTTCTCCCAGATGGCTGCAAGAGGCATCTGGTTACATCAGTTCAGCACAGACCTTTGGTTGTTTGCTCTTAGTTTGCTCTTAGTTTCACACTCATTTCCTCTCCCAGTTTTTTAACACCTTTCCTAAGGGGACAAAGGCCTTTAGCAGTCCAGATCTCTGGGGAATTTGCACTTGGACTGCTACCTTGGATAGTTCACAACCTTGTGTTGCCTTAAGGTGTAATGGAGATGTCACCCTACCTTTTGAACCCAAAAGAAACTCAATATTTTCCTTTACCAGCAGGGACAACTGCTCTGCAGTCCCAAACTCAAGGCAATTCCAAATACAAGCATGTGGCCATGGAAAGACACTTACTTCCCTGTGAGCTTGTGGGAAGGCTGTCATATACCAATGGAGCTGAGCAACACCCCAACACCTCTGAGAAGCACCATGCCCAGTCAGGTAAATAAGAGTTGTACAATAGAGAAATCCAGCATCTCACCTCATCTGGTGTCTTGAGAGCGACGTTTGACCGGAGCAGAACGTTCAAATTGACGAGGTCCCTTCCAAAACACAAAGTGAACATTGGATGGTGCAACAGGCAAGGTCACCCCCTCCATTCAGCCTGCCTGGCAAGTCCACCTCTCCCAGCAGCACCATGTCCTCACAGAGTCATGCTTCATTGTCCCAGAGAACTTGCAGGAACCCAGAATCAACATCAGTGGAGGAGAAAGAGACTCCAAGTGACCTTCTGGTGGGACTGCACTGCATGATGTGCCTTTTTTTGCAAAGATTCCCTTTTTGTGATTCCAGTCTTTGGTCACACACTGGTGGCCACATCCCAGTGCAGCTGATCTGCTGGTGGACTTCAGCTCATGAGTAAACACAGCCAAGGAGTGCCTCCACACAAGGAAGTACCATGGTGGCAGAAAGCTGGAAGAGAGCCCACTACCACCCTTCCTCCACCTCCTCCCACACAGCTGCCAGAAGTCCTCCCCAAAGGGAGGCAACTGTGCCTACATGGGCTGCACATCTTCTGTAGGAAGACACCATGGACTTGCAAACACAAGCCAGTCTGGTGAAGGCAGGCTGCTCTGGAGCCCATGGAGCAGAGATAAGTAACTGGTGGTCAAGCACAGAGGGACCCAGATCTCCACAGCACAGCTGCCTTACAGCCACAAGCCTGTCTCCTGCCCTCTTCCTGAGGAACAAGAGCGCTGGTCAAACTCAGAGAGCCCTTTTTTGCTGAGGAGGCATCAGATACTGAGCAGAGACCCTTGATATGTCCCAGCAGCCACAGCCCACCCCCTTTCCTGGATCTCCTTCTGCCCTTAACTTGAGGCCAAAATACAAGCCTTCCATCTGGGTTACATTTCCTTTCCAAAATCTTAGTCTGATTGTTTTTCCATGTCTAAGGCAGCAAAAGACTCCAACATTTCTACACTCCCAGCCAGTCTGAAACCAAACTAAGCTGATTCTGGACAAGTTTTCCTGCCTCTCACACAAGTGTGAATAAGCCCACTGACTGTCATCCTGGGATGGGGTAACTGAGCTCAGGAACACCAAAAAACCCAAGGAGAACCCCAAAAATCTGAGAGTAAATACCTGGACAAAAGAGCAACCCCTGCTTTCCCCATGAGCTGCCAGGCCACGAATTCTGCTGTCCTCCTGTCTGCCTCATAGGTCTCTTTCTGGCTGAGGATGAACACAAGTGGGAGCCCAAGCTGTAAGTGAACAGTGGAAACCTTCTCTGGGTCCTCAGCAACCTCTGTCTGGAGAAGAGACATGGTTATCCTGCAGCACATCTCCACATTGTTGAAGGTACCTCAGCTCTTCTCCTGCACAGTTCAAACCACCATGTGCTCCCCGGCCACAGAAATAAAGAGACCCTCAAGGAAAAGCCTCCAATCCTGCTTCTAAAACATCCATGGAAGCAGGACCCACCCAACCCTGATTAAACTGTTCCAACCTGCCCTGACCTTCTCTGTTAAAAAACTGGTCTTTATTATGCATATTCTTTGTAACTTAGCAACTCCAGATGTCAGATCTCCATTAATTTTTATTCACCTGGCATCCATTCCCCAGGGCAGCTTGAAAACCCCAGCTGCAACATGCAAGAGCTGGCATCTTCTCCCTGCCTGCACTAGACATGCTGCTTCATGACAGCATGGAGCTGCTTAACAAAGCATCTTCCCTCCATGGACCTAACCCAGGAGGCCAGTTGAAGGAGGCACTTCTCAGCTCATCTACCAGTGCTTTTGGCTGGGCAGAGATGTCACCAGGGGGAACTGGCAGCCTAGTGAAGCTCACTGCCCTGTGGGAAGAGGAGACAGGGTGGAGCCTCCTGTCCCTTGTGCTCACCAGGGGCAACCTCATTGCTCTCCACAGCTTCCTGAGGAAGGGATGTGGAGAGGGAGGTGCTGAGCTCTTCTCCCTGCTATTGCAGTGACAGGACATGTGGGAATGGTTCAAAGTTGCACCAGGGGAGGTTTAGACTGGACATCAGGAAGCATTTCTTCACTGAGAGGGTGGTCAAACACTGAAAGGGGTTTCCTAGGGAGGTGGCCAATGCCCCAGGTCTGTCAGTGTTTCAGAGGCATTTGGAAAAAGCCCTTAAGCAACACACCTTAATTTTTGGTCAGCCCTGAAGTGGTCAAGCAGTTGGACTAGATAATTACTGCAGGTCCCTACCAACTAAAGTATTTTGTTCTATTCTACTTGATTCGATCTTATGTGTCCCAGTGAAGTTCCAGGGGAACCTGCACCCCATTCCCAGTCATGGTGCTTCCAGACAACTGGAGGAGCACACATTGGTTCCAGAGCTCCCTGGAAAGCTCTGAGCAAGTGGAGCAGTGCAGTGGAATGTCACTCCCATCCAACCTCATGACTGTTCCTTGCTTGGACCCAAACTGGGAGCTTTGCCATGAACTCCACGGCAAAGAGGCAGATATTCCCACTCAGCCTTGCCCTCTGCTCAACACCTCCCTCATTCTCACCCCCATCCCTTGGCTCCTCATCCCCAGTCATACCACCAGAGGAGCTCCCATGAGTTTGAGGTGCCTGTGGATGTTGAGCAAGGTCAGAGCCTGCTCCATGGCTGTCCTCCTGCAGGGCTGTGCCAGGTCTGTGGCCTGCTGGCAGTGGCAGAACAACAACTGAGCAGATGAGACGTCAGGCTCATCGTTGCTGTGAGAGAGAAAACAAAACCCAACAGTGAAATGGGCATCCAACACACCCTGATGGAATTACCATGTTTGCTGACACCTTTTACAGGGCAGATGATCCCCAAGTTGAGGTCTGGCAGCCTTGTGGGACCTCTTAAGAGCCCTACTACTGACAGGTAGAATTATTCCCAGGTGCTTTTCAGAACTGTGCTGAACATCTAAGGAAGATCTAAATTATCCCAGAATATTTTGCTCAAGAATGACACAAATTCAGCTCTTCTCAGTGGTGCCATCCATAGCACTCCTGTGGAGAACCTGGCAGGACAAGAGCTGAAGTCTACAGCTTTGCTCATGCCTTTGGCCTCACTGATGACATCTTACAGCCTAGATAAGGAACATTGCTCCTTTTGATCAGAACTGGCTTTGGCTTGTGCCAAAGGAAGGAGGGAAATCGAGTTCCCTGAATAGTCCCCAGGTCAGTGGTTCCTGTCCTGATGCCAACACTGGTGTTAGCCTGTGGGTCAGCTTTAGGAGGTCACATTTCTTTCCTTATGCTCTCATTCACTGCCTCTAAGAACAGGGATAACCTTTGGGAATGGCTTTAAGACCTCTATGGAAGAGCAGGGTGTAGTATGAAGACCCCAAAGCCTGCTCCCCGACTTGGCTGAAAGCTATTCGTGTTGGTGAAGCTACCACCATTTCACCAGCTAAGGAGATGGCCTCCTGGTGTCCTCCCTGCTTTAAGCAGAATTAAGTAAATTCCTGTCCAAATAACAACCGTGCCATCTAGTGGCAGCCACAAAATGTTGTCTCTGCTCTGCAAGGATGGGACGGCATCTTGAGGAAGGACCACTTTGGTGGTTGCCCTGATGTCATCAGTGAAAGCAGGCAGATCGTTGCAAGAACACCTTGCTGAAGATGCAACATGCTATGGGATATTCCCACCCTCGTCCCTCTCAGTTTCCTGACTGCAGTGGGTCACAGCAGGAAATGGTGTTGAAGGATCAGTCCTTCCAATGCAACTCCTCCTGCGTGGGAAGGGGGTGACCTGAGCCGCCCTACTCCAGAGCAAGCCATGGGGTGGGATGTCCCAAATACATGAGCAGTGTCTCCAGCAGCTGAACTACAGACCTCACTGCTACCAGGAGCTGCTGAGATGAAAAGAAAAAAAGAAAAAGTGTTTAAAAAATTCTGGTGGCTGTTAACACCAGGATACGGGTTCAGCTCCCATCTCAGAAACCTCTGACTGCCAGAAGATGGGAGGCTGCAAGCCACATACATCTATACCCCCAGGTCCCTTGGGAAGCACCTATGGCCACTGCAGAGATAAGATATGGAGCTGGGAGGCCTTTGTCGTGATCTCTTACCCTTCTCAGTTAGTCAGACTTGCTCAGCAATGCACGAGGCTCAGTGCTTTTAAGATCAGCCCCCCTGGCAACCCATGGCTGAGGGGAGCTGGGAGGCCTTTGTCGTGATCTCTTACTCTTCTCAGTCAGACTTGCTCAGCAATGCACGAGGCTGAGTGCTTTTAAGATCAGCCCCCCTGGAAACCCATGGCTGAGTTTGGATCAGTCAGCTATGGAAAGGACACACTAGACTCTCCTATAAAATCCCACTCAGTGAATAGTCACAAAAGGCGTGGCTACTCCAAGCTCAGGAACACAAGCAGCAGCTGGTTTTGGAAAAGCAGACGAGATCTGACTGTCCCCCCCACTTGACACAGAATCCTCAAACCATCCCAGATTTGAGCTGAGAAGCTGAGGAACCAAGAACAGAGCAAACAGTGCCAGGGAGCAGCTTTGCATGGTGTGGGTTTGGACATACCTGGTGTCTTTCAGCAGCGCTGCCTCAGTTGTCAGAACAAACTGGTGGACAGTCCCATAGACAAAAGCTGCCTCCATCACAGCTCTATGCTCTGGAAAGAGAAAGGAAAAGTCTCAGGTCCCTCTAGATCTCCCTCTTCATCCTCCCCAGTTGTAAACATCAAAGCTCAGGCTTTTCAAAACTCTTGGTAAAAAGTCACAGCTTTTTGAAGACAAGTCATGAAGGTAACTGAGTAACTGGAGCTGAACCCAGTTGCTGATCCCCACTAAACACACAGGTGCTGTGTTTACTGAGGGTTTGTTTACCCATCCTACCATAGATCTTCACCCAGAGATCTCCCAAGGGGGTTGTTTATTTGTAAGACAGCAACCACTCGTTTGCTTTCCCTCTCAAGTGCATCTTGGAAAGTTTATGCTCCCAGCAAAACTCTTCAGGAGCAACTGATCCCTTTGAAAACACTGCAAGAGGTGGAGAACTTGTGCCTGGGTGGCAATTTCAGGTTTCCTCCATTTGCAGGTTTTTGGGTCAGCAACCCAGGTCCCTCCCACCCTAGGGAAAAAGGTTCTGGGAGGAGAGCAAATATGGAAAGCTGAGAGTTAATACCTGCTGTCCCAGTAGCTGGTACATAGGCAAAGACCATGTTTGACTTCCCTTTAAGTGTATTTTCCATGTTCTGAAGATCTGCCAATGTTTCAACATATTTAACTTCATTAAAGAGCAAGGCACTGAGGAGGCAGAAAAAAAGTCATTAGCAACTGTTTTCTTCTGAGGGAATTTACAGCCACAAAACCATGATGGGAAAAATGAGGTAAAATTCCAGCTTCTGGCTGGCAGGTTGAAGCTTTGCAGCCTAACAAAGCTGCCCAGACGTGTGCTGGTGAGACACTCAAGGGCATGGATTTATCAGGGGCAAACTATACAAAAGAGACAAGCAGCTTTCTTCTTGGTTGAGTACTGGGGTATTGTGTCCACTTCTGGAGCCCCTGGTGTAAGAAGGATATGGAGCTGTTGAAGAGAGTCCAGAGGAGGCCACAAAGATGATCCCAGGGCTGGAGCAGCTCTGCTCTGGAGCCAGGCTGGGAGAGTTGAGGTGTTCAGCCTGGAGAAGAGAAGGCTCCAGGGAGACCTTAGAGCACCTTCCAGTGCCTGAAGGGGTTCCAGAAAAGCTGGGAAGTGACTTGGGACAAGGGCAAGGAGAGATGGGATGAGGGGGAATAGATTAGAACTGTAAGAGGGGAGATTTAGGTTAGACATTAGGAAGAAATTCTTTGCTGTGAGGGTGGTGAGAGCCTGGCCCAGGTTGCCCAGAGAAGCTGTGGCTGCCCCATCCCTGGCAGTGTTGAAGGGCAGGTTGGATGGGGCTTGGAATAACCCAGTCTGGTGGGAGGTGTCCCTGCCCATGCAGGGGGGTTGGGTCTAGATGATCTTTATAGTCCCTTCCAATCTAAACCGTTCCATGATGATTTATACATGGGGTTTGTATTTATGCCAAAGCTTGTATCGACAAGTGCAAAGGAACGCAAAGGACTTCCCAGAGATGCAGTTACTTACAACAACACGTTGGCAACGATGGAGTTCACGTCAAACAAGGCATCAGTGGGGAACTCTCTGATCAGCATGTTACCTCTGGAGAGAGAAGACAGAGTTATCACCACAGAAACTGTGGAAGATTAGAATTAATTTTCACTCTGCTGAACACTTCCAGATACCTGCTGGTAGGAACTGCTGGAAAGAAAATGTCAGGATTGACTTTGGGGATTTTGTAGGACTAGGTGTCCAGGCAATGCTGTTTTAGTGCAGTCACCTCTGTCACTGCTGTTTCACTCCGTTCCTGGGGCCTGTGGATGAGAAGCCTTGCACAGAGTGACAGAAGGTCTCTAGATATCAAGCCTCACCACCAGAGGGGATATTTCTCTGGGTCGTGTACAACAGCCAGTGCGAACTGAGGCAATACATGGAGAAGCTTCCAGCTGACAACCCATGGAGAGACCCAAGAGCTAAACCTTCACATCCAGGGCAGATGATCTAACCACACAAACAGGAAGAGCACCAAAGAGTGTTTTTTTCCTAGACTAGACCCAAAACGTAGTGGTCCAGGTATAATTCTGGAGGACATGGTGGTGGGAGGCCACAAGAATAAAAGAACATGGGTAGATGACTTCTCTTGTGGTTTCATGCAGCAACACAATCTTCTGCTGCTCAGAGGAACATGAGGCAAGGTCGGGGGTTTCACACTGAGGACAAAGCATCTATTTTGCCTGTGTTGGACCTTCTGGTGGTAGTTTTTAATCAACTCTGGATGTCACCACTGTCCTTATGTCTCCTCTCTTCTTACACAGACACCTCTGGTCCTAGACAGCATTTCCTCTAAACATTTGCACTGGACAGCAACCCCAGTGTGCTGCCCAGAAAGCCCCCCTCACCTGAACAGGTAGGCTTTCCTTAATGCATTTTCCTTTTCACAGTATCTTGAGACATCCTCTTTGGGACAATTCACCTAGACATTGAAAGCATGTAATTAGACATTCAGCTCAGTGGTTGCAAACATACAGCACCACAGTTTTGTTCTGTTCAAGAGCATAAATACAGCCTTTCCAAACCTGCTGGGAAAGCAAACCCAGAAACATGGAGGCCAGAGCTGGGGATTGTACTTCAGTTCTTGTGGAAGGTGTCCCTGCCCATGGTGGGAGAATTAGAAGCACATGATGTCTAAGGTCCCTTCAAACCCAAACCATTCTATGATTCCATGAGTCTCCAGCTTAGCTTGCCTTGGTTTTGGTCAGACAGGATCAAAAGATCTTGTGATCTACCCAGCAAATGCAAAGTGACAGATTCTTGCTTGCTTATTAAAATCAGCCCATATTTGGAGGACATGAAACACACACACACATAAATAAGCACTCTGCATAACTACACTGGCCTGAATGTGTAACTCCCTCACCTACATCTGCTGAAGTTTCAGCTAAAAAACCCTTGATATGAAACATCTATTGCATTGAATTGAAGTGGACCAACTCCTGGTGGGCAAGTCCCACCTGAGTGAGTTGGGTGGGTTGATGCCCTCCTCTGCATCAGGTTGGGGATCACACTCTTCCTCATGCCATGCTCAGGGGTTCACACCAAGGACCTGGCAGCTCCACACACCCTGTGCAGCTGCTGGGAGACCAGATGACATCAGCCAGCTAAGCCTGGTACATGGGGCTGCCCATGAAAAAGACCAACCTGCAGGCAAAATATGAGTAGCTAAATGTCCTCTAAACCCTGAATGCAAATCAAAGTACACAGGGTTATCTGCTGAGACTGAACTGGGAGGCCTGGAGCAGTCCAGGGCTCTGCCAGTCCTCTGCTTTACTATGTTTGGAGACACAGGCACTACATGGAGCCTCTCTAGGTGTCCCACAGGCAGAAGGTTGTGACACAATCCACAAGCAGTAGATGTAAGACCAGGACATGGGATCAAATAGGATGCTCTGGTCTGCTTTCTTATGGGGTCCCACTGCTGCCAGTCCACAAGGTGGGTTGAGAGAAGCTCTGGTCACCCTGCAGGAAGCCCTACAGAAATAATCTACAGAAATAGCCTGTCCCACCCTCATCCCCATTTACCTTCACCACTGAAATGCCATAGTCCTGGAGGGCCTCAGCTGAGTTCTCAATCTGCTCCAAGAAGGGCTGGGCATCAGGAGAAACTGAAAGACACAAAAAGAGCTTGTTTTCCACCTTTCCCCTTCCTTTCTAACACACTCAGTGCTGATGTGGGAGCTGTGTTGGTGTCTCAGCCCATGTAGATGTCTCTAAGAAACCATACTTGGGGGTCATGAAGGTGCAGAATAAGAAAGGATCTCCTAATTCTTGACAGCCCTTAGCTCCCCTGTATGCAAGGGATCTCCCCTTTCCCTAGGAGGAACCGTGGAAGAGAAACCCAGCTCTTTTGAGGGGGTAACTCCTCAGGAAGCTTCTTTTCCATGGTACCTTCAGAACATAATCCAGAAAATTAAAGAAGCAGGTTGAAGGAGAATGTCTGGGGACATAGCCAGGAAAGATCCATCCACCCTAGGAGGTGTCTGCCTGTCAGGAGCACTCAAGACTGTGCAAACACAGACTTACCAGCTCTTCAAAACCACTCTGGGATTAAAAACCTCAAGAACTACCTCTTTATTATTCCACTTTCACACACCCTCTCATAGGAGCCTTTGCTGAAAACCCAGGCTGACATGAACACAGACCACTAAATACCTACCAGGATGGCTGAAGTAAGCCAGGGATGCTTTGCCAACTTGCAAGCTACTGAAATAATCCTGAGGGCTCAGCTCCTGCAGCAGCCTCTCACTTCCCTGCGTTGGGATGGAGGAGACCCAGAAGAGCAGGAAAGAGAAGGATGAAACCCAGCTGTCCTTCTGGGCTGACATGGCTGCTATCAGGTACAGAAGACTCACAGCTGGGGAAAAAAATCAAAACATACATATGTATTCTGTATGTATATACACAAATAGATAAATGGGTGTCTGCTGTTTAGGTAGGTGTAGCATGACTGTCACCTCCAGGTGTGACACCAACATCTCGAGGATATTATGAATTTGTCACTGGAAGAGCAGGTGATTCAGACAACTGCAAAGATGACAGCAAAGGCCATTCTCTTTCCTCTGACCAGTACCTGCAAGTGCATGGTCCCTCACTGCTTTCAGCTTAGAGCTCTTTTGTTTCCCTCCTTCTTTTTCGAGTCAAATAGAAGTTACATGTGCGGGTAGAAAACTGTGGTTGTGTCAAAAAAACTCACCCAAACTGTCTCAATTCTTGTTAAAAAGTGTTGAGGAATGCCACTAGCATTGCATGTGCCACTGAAGGAGGTCTTCACAAAGGGAAAGGCCTTATTGCCCAAATAAGACTGTGCCAAATGATGTGGGAAGGCTCCAGATCCCCCGCCAGTGCCTGCCCCATCTCTCTACCATTCAAAGTCTCAGCTACATCAAACAGGAGAGGGCTTTGTGCAAACTCTTTGGACTTGTCATGCCTTCCTTGGCCCACCTTCATGTTTCTCTGACATAGCTGGCATGGGAGTAAAACCCATTGTAAGCAGCAGGACAGTCCTGAAAGTGCCCCATCCTGCCAGGCTTCCACGTGGAGCTAGTGAAGAGAAGAGCCAAGGAAATTTGTGAGATGCTTCAGAAAATGGAGCAAAGACCAAGCCCTGGTCTGCTGCCAGGGTTAACCAGCAGCCCTGCCCAGGCTGCCAGGCCACAGCTGTTTAACTCTTATTCTGCTTGGAAAAGATTACCATCACCCAAAAGAACAACAAGTTCAACTATTAATGTAATTTTACCAAGTCCAGTGCTAACCCACGTCCCTCAGCACCACATCTACACGGCTTTGAAATCCCTCCAGGGATGGGGACTCCACCCCTGCCCTGGGCAGCCTGGGCCAGGGCCTGACAACCCTTTGGGGAAGAAATTGTTCCAAAGATCCAATCTAAACCTCCCCTGGTGCAAGTTAAGCCCGTTTCCTCTTGTCCCATCACTTGTTCCTTGGGATCAGAGACCAAACCCCCTGGCTCCAACCTCCTCTCAGCAGTTGCAGAGCCAGCAGGTCTCCCCTCACCTCTTTGTCTCCAGGCTGGACACCCCCAGCTCCCTCAGCTGCTCCTCCTCACACTCATGCTCCAGCCCCTTCCCCAGCTCCATTGCCTTTCTCTGGACACGTTCCAGCCCCACAGGTCCTTCTCTTCCTAAGTGATCCAAATCTTATTGCTCAGATTAAGGAGCTCAGGAGAGCTTCATGTGGACAAGCACTCCAGGATGAGAACACACTTTCTTCCCACTTCACTCCCGTGTTTAATACCAGGTTCCTTCACAGCCTGTTCTTCAAGTATGGGTCTTGCCACTGAGTGTGCTGGAGCATGGCTGGTCCCTGGTCGAGAGAGACAAAGTTGGAATTGAAGCCATGGAGAAGCTGTTTGCTTTGCATCACGAGTTGCAGCTGTTTTTGGTAACAAATGCCCCTGTGTCCAGGGACTGTCATTCCCTCCAACACCCTGTCAGATGCTGTCATCTCCTTGTCACTACTCTGTGATGAACCCAAAATCCAGCACTCAAAACAAGCAGGCAAAGTCCCTCTGCCTTGCTCCAGGAGCACAGAGTTAGTGGCAGCCAAGCATGCTCAGCCTTCACAGGTTCCCTCTGGTGTAGGTGAGGGGTTTGGATCAGGCCTGAGCAGCTCAAAGGAACAAAGATAAAGCTGAGAAAGGCCTGTGTTTGTTGGGTTTTTTTTCTTTAAATTTTCATCTGAAAATCTCCAGCTCTCTCCTTTCCAGCCTTGGGAAGTGCCAGGCATTTCTGGTCCTTTGCCCTCCCATCTGTTCCTCTGGCTTACAGAGGGGACAGAGATCAGGGCAGGGGGGGCGGGGGCTGATGTTTATTAAATGACAAACTTGGCTACAGCAGGATGGAAAAATAAACACAATTCTGGCATGTCGTAACCAGCTCAGGTCAAATGGGAGAGCTTACTGTCAAGGAGGCAAGAGGAGCAGCCTCCAATGCCTCAAAGACTTCAAGGCATCATATCAGGAGGAGGGTGCCAGCAGCTTCAAACACAACTCCAGCTTCTACCCAGCTCTGATTTCTCTTTGTGTCTCCTCCAGCTCTTACGGTTTTTCTAACGTCCACCTTCTGCCCTCTCCACATCCCTGTGTGACTGCAGCTCTTCTCCTTGCACCTCTCTCAGTCAGCCTTGTCTGCAATGCCATGACCCCTCCCTCTGTCCCATCACTGTCAACCCTGCTCCTCCCCAGGCTTTTCCACACAAAAATGTGTGCTCATCCCTTCCCTACCCACATCCCCTCACCTCCTTGTTACTCCATCCTGCCCAGCACTTTCCCTCTGTGCCCCATCCATCTGGAATTGAATATTCAGCTTTTAGGTAATTTCCTCTGCCATCTCTTTTCCATCAAGGGAAATTTAACACCAAAGGGCCAGAATCCTGAACCTCGGCCACTCACAGGATTACCAGAGACTTGTGAAAATACCAGGAATGTGTGAACCAGCTCCATGTCACTGCTGGGAATCCCTTAAGCCTAGGGACCATAGATGGTATGCAAGACCTGCTTCATGTTTTTCCTGTCACACCTCCAAGACAGAGCCAGCCAAGGTGGTTAAGGGCACTGTAGATGCCCTAAAATTAAACCAAACACACCAGGGACAGTCAGCACAATCCTGGTGTTGGCATAACTTGTTTGTGCTGCATCAGTTTTGCTTGGGAATCCTGCAAGGGCAACGGTGAGCTGGGATCCCTGCATCACCTCTGTGAATCCAGCTGCTCTCTCCTTGACACCTTGCCTCAAAAAGCCCCTGGCTCCCAGAATCGATTAGCAAGGAAGCTGCAGTGTGTTTTATTCAACAGAGGATGATGTGGGGTGGTTTTTAAGACTCCTAAGACAAGGAAGAACCACTGTGCTACTGGAATCATGGACTGCACAACCAGCTGGGTACTATCTCCACCACCCATGGGCCTCCCTGAACTCAGGAGGAACACCACCAACCTGGACTTAAATGCCACTGATGTCAAATCTGCCACATCCCTCAGCAGGGGAATCTTGCTCCCTTCTTGCAAAAAACCTACACTTTGTGTCTGGTCCAAATACGTTACATTGCTGCTTCCCCTTCATTTTATCTCATTATATCCTTATCTCCCAATATGCAGAGCCCTCAGCTGGTGAGTTTGAACTCCCTAGGCAGATGCTCCTGAACCAGAAGCATTTAGGATGCTCCTAAATTGAGTCACTTCAGCTTCTCCTGGGATGATTGACACAGATCAGGCCTTTTTGTTGCAGGACATCCACCCCCCACCCAGCTGGCAGAGTTTTTGGCAGTGTGCTCTCCTGCCTTTCACACCCTTCTGGCAGCAGTTACCCAGTGCTGCCCTCTCAGATTTGCTGGCAGAGAGGACACTGAGCAGAACCCAAATCCAGATGGACTTGATTCAAACCCTTAGGTACAGCCCACCTCATCATGGTGCTGATCAATGTCCAACTCAAGACAAATTTGGAAGACACTAGCACCTGTGGTCATTATGCTAATATGACTATGAGTCAATCATCTTACCCCCATAAATAGTAAGTAGCCCAAGAGCCCTTGGAGCTCTCCTGCAGGGCAGCAGCCTGCACACCAGGAGAGCTCCTTGAGTAGGGACACCTCTCAAGGTTACCACTCAAGGCTGAGAGATTCCTTGGCACAAAAGGTTCTCAGTAAGTGATTAATAGCATGCTAAACACTGGAAAACAAATATATATGATATATAAAGGACCTAAAGGATTGATTGCACATATATGATCCTTTAGTTAGGCATAAACCATTGAGCCAGTCTTGGACTAGGATTGGATCCAGCCACATCTAGACTCTTCTGAGGGGAGTTTAGAAAGCAAGGGGGGGTCCCGTTTGAATCTCATGACTCAACAAGGAGGGTCTCCCCGACAGCTCTGTCTGACCCTGTCCTCTATGCAGTAAATCATCAAGTGCACCCTGCTATCACACACAGAGAAACCGCCGCCTCGTTTACTACCAAACTTTGTTAAATGACTCCTTTGTATCAATAAACATATTGCTGCTTCTCTTTTATGACTTAAGTGCACGACTCCACCCGTGACACTCTCCAGCCATGGGAAGGTGTTTCCACCCTCGCTGGACACCCCGACAAGCCTCCCACCCAGGCTGCAATGCTAGGACCCACAGCAGACTTATGTCCTGCTTCCAGCCAGAACCCAGAGCCTTGGCACAGCGACACTTATCCACAAACCCTGTTTCGAGCCAGAGCACTGCCAGGCCTTTTGTGCACAGGCAGGCACACTTGTCCACCAGCAGCATTTTAAGGACATTGCAGATCACTGTGCAATCAGCCCACGGCTCAAACCCGTGCCAGGGCAGCTCACGAGACCGCAGGCACATCTGGCCCCCTGTGCAGGATGATAATGGAGCTGCTCTCCCCCAGCCTCTGACTCCCCACCCCTGCAACCCACACGTCTGGTTGTCCATGAATATGTGAGATATGGGCCTGGAGTCAGGGGACAAGGGTGGATACTGCAGCGAGCTGGACCTGGCAGAGCCGGGATTCTTCTCCAGGATCATCAGTGAGGGTGGGAAATGCATCCCAGCCTGTTGCCCAGGGTGCTTTTGCCTGGCTGGGTTTTATTTGCAGTGATGCTCCCATGCTGCCCCATCTTCTGCCACTTCCTGGAGGGTTTCACTTTCGTTTTCACTTCCAGGTCGCACTTCCCAGGCGGCCAAGGCTGCAGGAGGGACACGCACCAGCCTGTCCCTCTGCCCACACCTGCAGAGGAGCACCTGGATCCCCGTGCCCAGCAGACAAGCCCACACCATCACCCACCATGGAGCAACCTGAGTCTGTCCCCATACCTTCTTCA